CTCTCTCTCTCTCTCTCTCTCTCTCTCTCTCTCTCTCTCTCTCTCTCTCTCTCTCTCTCTATCTATCTCTCTGTCTCTTTCTTGGCCGCGTGTGGAGGGGAGGTTTTTTCCACTCAGAGTATTATTCGGGGGTTACCTTCGTTTGGGCTTTTTTTCCTCCCATGCCTTTTCGGCCGTCCGATGGATGGATGCATCTCACTTGGCAGACAGTGCCCTTTGATTGTGTCTTGGCCTGCCTCGGGGACCGGTCGGGCGAGTGGAGGACCGAGGGCTTGCCGAGGCCAATGACCTCGGGTGGCTCTCCCACCGCAGGCCCACTGGCGAGGGTACTCGGAGTGTAGGAGCCCCAGGCTCGACGGGCTCTCTCCCGGGCATGTGTGTGCATGCTGGCCATGTCCAGTCAGAGGAACTTGACAAGATTCACCACACTTCCCGGTAGGTCCCCGGGACATGGATCGAGGATCCGCGCGGCGGGCCGAGATAGCGACCGGCCCGACTCGATCCCTCGCGCCTTCGAAGGAGCATACGAGATTGGTCGGCCTGCCGGTGACTGGTGGACAAGGTGCTGCGGGGCCGGGATCGAGGTCGGGAGCTTAGCGACATCCGCCTGGGGGGAGGCCCTCGGGAGACGTTTATGGCCGGCAACCGGTGCGCGGATATCGCCAGGACGGGAACAATGCCTTTGGCGACGATGACGAAGCCGTCCCCCGGGCACCCCGCGGCAGGGGGTGACACTCATCCCCCCGCTGTCCCTGGTGCAGCCGGGTTGGGAGGCCGCAATTCTCTTGCCGTTGCCATGTCCCAAAAAGCGACAGAGAGACGGCCAGTCACAACTCTTGGCCATCGGCGATGTCTTTCACTGTGGACATGGGCAAATGGTAGATGGTTCAACGGGGTCCAGCGGATGGAGGCCGCTCCAGCTCGCTCGCCAGGAAGTCCCCTCGGAGCACCTAAGGGAAGGGGGGGAGATCTGCTGCCTATTCCCCTCCCGGAAGGAGCCCACCCTTAAAGCATGAGGATGCCGTGCGGTCCTCCAACAAGATGTCAAATCGGCCTGGGTCATGTCGCCCCTCCACGATCGGCCTCAAACGGGACGATTTGTTCCAGCGGCCAGGGGGGCCCACCACGGTAGGGGATCCCTAACCATGCACAAGACCGCAGGGGAGACAGGGGAATGGCCCTCCATCCAAGGGCACAGACCAAACACCCGCTTGACCACTCTCCTGGGCCCTCCATCGAGCGATTACCCCGGATGCCGGGCACACACACATGCTCTCTCTCTCTCTCTCTCTCTCTCCTTCCCCCCCTCTCAGAGGGCCCGGTATCCGACGCACTGGCCCCAATGTCCGAGATGGGCTCTTTCATTTTTCGCGACACACGAGATGAGCCGCTCTTTCAGTCTGTCCTGCCAGCTGAGGCCGTCCCCCCCCCCCCCGAATGCCGAGCGTCAGCCAAGGGGGCATGACAGCGGTCGGCCTCTGTGGTGCGTCATTCGCCCGGCTCGCCCACCAAGCCGGCCAGTCGTGTTAGGCGCCCGGGCCAACGAGGCGTTGGCCCTTGCCGTTGCTGAACCGCTTGTGGCTGTCAACATGCCGGAAAAGCCGGATCATGGGCTCCCTCGCATTCGATCGACGATGTACCTGGGAATGGGAACACGGACATGCGTCAGGTACACCGGTGAGGCGAGGGCCAGAGTCTCCCGGCCATGCCTCATCAAGTTCACCGGCTGGTAGGGGCCAAGCTCCTCACTGGGACGTACCCATTCAGGGGAGTCCTGAAAGGCCGCACCCCCGACCGCTCGGTTCCCATGAGACCAACACGCCGGGGGGGCTTGTCGGAATGCGGCGCCAAACTGGGCGCTCCGCGCGACAAGCAAAGATGCCATTGTCGTTCTCCGGCGCGGCCCGGCGGCCTGTGGAGATTCCCGCTGGGCGCCCCAGGCTTGGTGCCCGACAGGCAAAAGTGCCTCCTTGTGCTTGGAACATTTGGAGGGGCTGGTAGCTCGAGAAAAGGGGGCGCTCCCTCGTCGCATGGCAAGGGGAGGTCCTCTCCTCGGGGCTGGCCTCGGCATCAGACCATGCAGGCCCCGGACAGGCCGATGCCAGTCCGCACCGGTGGGGCCCGGGCTTTAGAGAGCGGCCATGCGGGAAGTTCACCGGGCTCCCGGGCGGAGGACTGCGACTAGATTGGTGGCTCGCCGGCTGCCCCTCACCGGTCCAGGGCAGGAGACGGCGCCTGTTGGCAAGGACAGAAAGGTGGGGACGAGGGGCTGCCATTCGGAACTAACAAATAGGAAAACCAGGGGCCACTCACTCATCGGTGGGAGATTAGTCTAGTGGTATGATTCTCGCTTCGGGTGCGAGAGGTCCCGAGTTCGATTCCCGGATCTCCCCCATTCTTTTTCCTGCGGTCGGCATCGGGAGCATTGTGTGACTCCATCCACACCCGGGGGCAAAGAGTGGGGAGTGGGCCTCTCTCTCTCTCTCTCTCTCTCTCTCTCTCTC